CCCCGAAAAAAAAAAAATCACACACTCACTGACACCTAAAGCCGAAGTCCCCAAATGAAACTAATAGATCCTAGAATTAATTCTTTGAACCATTCAACCCAAATTCTACCTCTATATGCAATGCCCTCATAGAATAATATATTTATGTATGCTTATACATTGACTGACCTGATCTTATCTGGAAGCCAGGACCTGAATTATATAAAGAATACCTGACATTTATGGTTATCTTTACTTTTGCTCGTCTGCTTAGCCTAAACGCAAGATAATATAATGCTAAGAATAAAAAAAAATCTAGAAAGAATGTTTTAAGAACCTCTTTCTTAATATCTAATAGAGAATCTATACTTATTACTTTTTGAAGTTACATTTCATAGGTACGAACAAAACTTTTAAATAGATTTTTACATGTTGTTATTCATCTGTGTATTAAGAAAAATACATGCAATATTAATAATTTTGTTAAAATACACACTAAAGATTTAAATGTAAAGCTTTGGAGCCACCTTCTGGCAGTAAGAAAACACTACATCTCCAACACATTTCTTTTTCAAACTTAGAGGAAAATGAAAAAAAGAGAATTTGTGAGAGAGACTAGCTCAAATAATGACGGCAATAACTCCATGGGAAAAAGAAAAATCACTGTAACCTAAACCAAATGTATATACATTTAGCAGATATGCCAATTTCTTTTGTGCAAGACAGAATAAGTCTCGAAAATAAAATAGATAATGAAAAAGGTGAGAAGAAAAACATCAAGCTATTGGAGTTAAAACTGAAGTAGCATGGGTAAATTCTATTTTGGTTACCACACTGTCAATCTGGGATAATTCCATTCAGTGCTTTATAGTGCATTTGGCTACATTTTACAAGTCAAGATTATTTGACTGTGATGAAGACCTAGACTGTCAAATACATCCATGACCTCTAGAGGCAACTGTCTGAACTCACCTATTTACAGCACTGACCATTTTTTTCATCCATAGCTTGCCTAAACTGCTGCATGTTTTGGGACAGCGCAGCTCACAGGGCCCAAGACAATGTTCACAGGAGATGAAGGCAGAACATCCCAGGTTTAAGGAAGTTGATAATGCAAACAGCTGTATGAAAGATTAGAATCTGACCACTTTGAGATGCAGTTGCAAGCCCCTGCTCTTGAGGAAAGCATTTCTATAAGGATGATTTAAACAGAACTAACTCCTGAAACAAATTCTCCCTCAACCAGGGAGAGAAAGACGATAATAGGATTCCATAATGTCATCCAAGTATACCGCTATGTGGTTGTGTTTCCCAGGGTTGCTTCTCTGTACATCAGTGATGGGTGATAAAAAGAAAAAGAAAAGAAAAAGAAACCCTAAAATACTTAGGTTTGGGCTCAAACTTCCAAGAATACCAGTGGTAAAATACATTTTTTCAGGTCAATTAAGAATGTCACTGACTTTCCTCTGAATCCAGACAAAAATCTTCCTCTGACTGAGACCTTTCAAAGTTTACAACAGCATCCTAGCTCAATTCTGATTTCAGTTCTTATTTTCCTTTCTGTAGCCTCCTCAATCTTTTTCCCTTGAATTATCATGTAAATGGGGAGTTAACAGCTCAGCTCCATCATGTACTACACTACAGGTAAATTAATATTAGTGAAAAAGTGATGCTCTTCCTGGGTGTAATATTTTTACAGTACTTTGTGAAGAAAATGTTTGCTATTAACACCTCTGATTCTGTTAAATAAATAATGGATTTAAAGTTAATATGATAATAGATCATTAAGAACATATGGTTATACCCAACAGACTTTTCAAGATGTCATATTACATTTTGTTTCCTTCTTAACACTTTTGTCACTAAATGCCACAAGGTACACGGTATTATCTGTAACCCATTACAGTATCTTGCTAATCCTCTTCCAATCTGATTATAGATGTGATATATACACATACACACAAGGAAGTTTTGGTGATATCCCTTCATTAGACCAGAACTTCATTGCCAAATTTCACACAATCACATTTTTTGTGGATTTGGATCCCCATGAAGTATCATTAATCTCAATGGCATTTCTATAACATTACTGGAACATTTCCAATCAAACATATGTTCCAATGTGTAAACTATCTTTCAATGTTTAAAATAAATAGAACTCAAAAACACAAAGGGAGCTGGCTAACTTTTAGCAGCCAACCCATCCCTCTCACCTCAACTCCTATTGTGATGGAAATGAATTCAAGAAAATTGATGCAACTTTTTCTATGAACAGTTTTTCCCCTCCCCCAAACTGTTAATATCCTTAGGAGCAGTTGTTATTTCTATCATCATCCCTTTGGATTAATATACATTTGAGTCATCAGGTCTCCCTTCCATTGAGTTCCTAAACACCCTGACATCACCTCCTCCTGGCATTCTCACACAATGCCTCCAGGCCCCAGCAGATATAATTAGGACTGAAGAGCAGCCTTCAGCCTTTTCATCTGAGTCCATGTCAGATGTCAGTGATGAAAGATGTACAATACTTCCCCACATGCATGCTAATAATGTATTTCAGATTTGACTACTCTGACCCAGGTGCATAATCCTCTATCAATTTTTATATTGTAAAAATTATAAAGGCGTTGTACCTGTGAACTTTTGCTAAGGCTGTTAGAGTAATTGCAGCTGAGATATGCTTAAAACGTATCAAGATTATAGGCATATTGGAACAAAAAGGTTTTGAAAATGTTTTTCTATACAGACTAATAAAGTGACACAAACTGATCTACTCCCCTAATTAAGAAAGTAAATTCCCAGTTGATCATCCATTTCCAGTTGAGCAGCTGTAATATCCAACATGCTACAGTTAGACTTCAGTCTGTCAACTTATATTGCACATCTAAAAGGGATGAGATAAGTATACTCAGCAGTGCTTTGCTTCTGATTTTCCCATCAGTTGAAAATGGGTCATGGACACAACTCCTGCAAGGAATTTTCTGAAGCTTAAGATAGATTCAGTATTGTACTGTGACACTATACAAAGACTGTTACAGGGTTTCCAGTTCATGGCAGGTTGGTGTACTTCCATCTGAGTCTTGTATGGACACATACTTTATTGGAGGTGGTGGTGGCTTGAAAGATGGAGGTCTGTTCATACTAAAATAAAAAGATAGTGTTTGAAAATATAAGAACTCATGATGCACAAAAAATAATATATTTAGGCAGGCATGTATCCAAGCACATCTATGTAGAGCTAGAATAAAGCAAAACCCCAAGTTCTAAATTCTCAAACAGCTCCAAATTCGTCAAAACTAGGGTACATTTTAAAGGGTTTTCCATACCTATATTTCTTTAAATATTTTTGGTATTGATTCAGTCTTTGCACGTTAGTCTAAGCTGCATAGATTGAACTAATAAACAACTAAACAGACATTCTCTTTTGATACCAGAAATGCAGCCATATGTCTGCAGTGGCTCAGGCCAGATGTTGGAGGGTAATAAAACATGCCTCCCTGCTCACTTGAAGCAGACAGTTTGGGCTAAGTCTAGTCCATCCACCCTGTGAGGGGCTGATTGCAGAAGAGGTGCAAGGCATCCTGGGATGATGGGGAACTGTGATTTAACTCGACTTTGAAGGAGATCTGGGATAAAAGTTCAAAAAACTGATTTATCTTAAATCAGTTAAATCTGATTGTGACAGGAGTGCCACTATTGGAGCCTCTCCGGGTATGGCTCTGCCCTCCTGTAATGGGCCAACCGCCTGCTCACTTGTCTGCCATGCCTTGATCTTATTTAATTAATAGATTGTTGTAATTAGTGGGAGGCTGCCCATTTCTACGCGCCCCGATGACAGGGGGCGCTATCTGCGGCTCCTTTTCCTCCCCTACACTGCAGCCCAAGCCTCGCAGATGGTGCTGGTGTGATCTGACTGACCCTGTTGTGTCTTGGCCCTCTTTTTGCCCTCGGGGCTCCTTGCCGCCCCTCTGCACTTTCGGGGCTCCTCGCTGCCCCTCTGCACTTTCAGGGTCCCTCTGCACTCTCGGGGCTCCTCCGCCACTCTCGGGGCTCCTTGCCGCCCCTCTGCACTCTCAGGGCTCCTCCGCCACTCTCAGGGCTCCTCACTGCCCCTCTGCACTCTCGGGGCTAGGCCAATGCACCCTGCAACATACTGTGCC